ATCTGTATGAAACACAGTTCAGTTTCTGGGAAACAGATCTTGTGTGTCACCACAACAATGGTCCCAAGTGGATAGAGGAAGAGGAAGGCTCTAGAGCACTAGGATGAGATCAGGGCAGGTATGAAACCTTTGCTTTCATCCTCAATGCCATGAGGCAGAGAGAGAAGACCCCCTGACATGCAGTTGTTGAACCAAAGCAGTTTTTATAGAGCAGCTCAGAGCCAGTTCATATCCAGCACCTAACCCCAGTCCATCTATTTTGGGCTGAGCTCCAGGGTCATCATCTGCCTGTAAACACACAGTATCAGCTTATATTAGATAAACACTGTGGATGTACATGAGCATGTACTGGTGAATACTCATGTGGTTGGATTATAACATTCTCTCTTTTAGACTATATATAAATTGCTTGGGATGTACAGTGGGACTTTATCTATGTTTTGTACATCAGCTAGCATACTAATGGGGGTTAGAAAATAGCAACAGCAGTAGAATAAAATCAACTGAGTGACATTTAAAAATCATTGCAAAGGAATGTTCTCAGCGCTGCTGTCTTGTTTGTTTCAAGCTGGAGCGTCAGGGCAGAGAGGCCATATAAAGCAGCAGAGAAGGGGGGATGCTCAAGGAAGCTGTGGCTGTCTGGTCATTTTGCTGAGGTTTTTTAAGACCGACAGTAGAACCTTGAAATCTTGGTTTCTGATTTCAGTGTAAAAATATGCTGTTGACTACACTCTTTTCTTGCTCAGGAATTGCACCACAGTTGTTGAACTATATGAAATACTCCTAAGTTGCAAACTGCACAAGGGGAAAAGTGCATTTCCTTTGCCACATGTCTTATTTTGAAACCTCAGAGATTTTGTGAGTGGGTTTGCAAAAGCACAATCCATCTGATCAACTCATGGAGAACTGGGATACAAGTTGGGATAATCAGCCTGATTCCTCCTATCCTCGTGTATTGAGAGAAAATGTAATCTGCTAAAATTTTATACTCATTTTGTTTGGATATTAAAACATGCAAAAGCACTGGAAGAGCAGAGCCAGTAGTCCCAGCTCTTATATTGTACCTAAGTAAATCAGGACTAATTCAATTAAATTCCTGGACCTATTTTTTTATACAGAATAAATGTGTTATTTCCCTCTGAAGTTTCTGTACCCTGCTAGGGCAGAACAGAGAGCAATGGACTCGTTTTGATGTAAAATTAGTAAAACCAAAGACAGGATCAGATTTGCTGACTAAAAATACCTACAGAAGAAAAAACTGGCACCTGATCCAAGGGGAAGTAATGAATGCATAGCTGATGCGGCATGATAATGGAGTATACCCACGGAAATTATTGCAAGGTTAATCTTAAAAATCAAATAACTTAATTCTGATCCCAGTGATTTTGATTAAAATCAACTTGAAAAGAATGTCTAATGATTTGGTACTGATGTTACTTCAATTAGTGAAAAAGTGTAAGAAACAAAAGGAATAAAATACTTTTAATCTTAAAAAAGGAGAGCTTCCTGGGGCGTGGGGAACATGTACATGCTGGAACCATAAAGCTTCCCCATGAGGAGTAATGAGTTAGTGAACCTTTTTCAAGTACAACACACTTCTTTTTGAAGCTAATATTTGCCTTGTAGTAACAGAGTTTCGCAGTCACTACAAAGTGCTTGTTCATTTCTATTGCTGGGTATATGCCACAGCCACAGTAAGTGCACATAAATGAATAGGTGGCTATCTTTCAGTTGCCTTTTAATGTGTGGTCTACAATGATAACTCAGTTCTAAAGCCTCATGCAAGAGTTCTGAGCAAAAGGCAAAAATATGCCCTGCAAACATTTGTTATAATCCATCTAGAAAATAATTCTGCTGGAGCTTTCAGTGTATTTCATTCAGTCTACAAATACAGATAAAATCAGAGGGAATAATCAACAGCTTGCAGGTATAATCTCATTACCTTTGTTACTGAAGGTACTGACAATAGTTAAATCACCAATCGTAGTGATCCATTCCCTAGCTTTCTGGCACAAGGAGGATTTGCTTTCATCAAATATGATTGTCCTAAACTGGAATACCATTGCAAAGGTGCTCTCATTTTCTCTGCTGTGGTCCTCATGGTAAATAAGATACTCAGCTCTCCTTGATGAAGGCAAGAGTTCTCAATATGCCAGAAAACACACAGCAACATACAGTAACAGAACAAGAGCAAATGGAACCACATTTATATGGTAATCTAACACTCTCAAGAAATAGGGAGTAGGCAAACTTGCATTGATCCTATAGCTTATGTTGAGAAATCTCATTTTAATATTCAGCTGAAGAGAAAAAATAATCAGTAAAAAATATAATGCCTAACAGATAACACCTTTCCTATTTAATGAGCAGACATACACGTAAGTTTGCTTCATAGTATTAACACCTAGTTGGCTGAAAGCTATGAATTGCTAAAATCTGTCTTGAAATACAAGTAATCAAATGACAACATGGATATGGTCCTAGAAAGACATAGGCAGCATGTAGTACATAGCTGCTTCCCGCATTTTTGAGGTATTATTGGGGGGAAAAAAAGCACAAGGAATTTAGCATTGTGATGAATGGCTATAAAAAAGAGGGGATGTGAAAAAGCCAGATCAGGACTGACTGTAAAGAGAATATGAATTCCTACAAATCTGGCATTCAGTGATAAACATCCTGTACTCTACAACAAAGTGCTCTGAAAAACTCATGCTGTGAAAAAATAGAAAGGTATCTCCTCCCTTAACTGAGATAAAGACAGATGTGAATTTTAACTCCCCATAGTTAACATTTATATTGTTAAAGGTAGCGATTATTAGTATGTTTCTATTTAACAGTAATTTAAATAGAAATAAAATGTTTACTTTGAATACTACAGTCCTGAGCTACAATCAAAATTGTTTTTCTAATTCTGCAGACAGAATCTTACTAGATGATTGTGTTCCAGAGCCTAAGCTTCTACTGAAAAAATTTTCTAGTCCTTGTGGTTGCAAAGATAACTCCCAAAACGTGAACTGACTGTAAGCAAAGAAGTCTGCCCAAGTATGAAGATGGCCTGGCAGAACAGGTCTGCAAGAAAGCAAACTCTGAAAACAACAATTCAAATTTCTGTTGATTTAATCATATTCCAAACCGTATAATCTTTGTTCAGTTTTAACTGTAAAAATGTTAAAAATATATGATTCATAGATTGTGTTTATCATTGAAAGAACACAACTAATTTTTGCATGCAGAATACAATGGCGTCAGTCTTTGCACATTTGTGCAGATGAAAGTATGGTTCCTTGTTCTCTCCTTTCTATTTTGCGCTCTTGCCCAGGGACAGCTAGACTGTGGCACATCACACATACTGTATTTATTGCAAATGCTTTTTATGCCACCAGTTTATGCACTTGACAATAAAACTGTTGTGAAGTTTAAATCTATTTTAGTTCCATAAAACAGTCCCAGGTCTGGATCTGATATCTTCAAAAATTCAGCAAAATTAGGTTTTAGAAGCTTCAGAAGATTGGGTTTGGCTTATAATTGTTACTCCATAGTGTATCATTTGCTGTCTTCCTCTGAAGCAAATAAAAACATCTCCAAACTTAGATGGTACCATCAAAATATTCTGTGTTCTAGCCTGTGTTCAGTAAGGCTTAATATAAATCCAACAACTGCACAGCAGTAATAATTAGTTAATTATCCAGTAAGACAATTGTTATTACCGCCTTTAAAAATGTGCCCCCTGGTTATATAGGGGACACAACATCCACTAGGATGTTGACGAAGTTACTTATCTGGCTGAAGCACTTGATATCTTCATTTCAAATCTAATGCTTTCTAACACACAACCACTTCAACAGAAGTTGATAAGAGCATAAGAACTGCTGCGCTATATCACACAAAAAACTCCTCTTACATCTTATTCAGTATCCTACCCCTGACAAAGGCTCAGCAGCAGAGATTTAGGGAAGAAGATTAAAAAAACGGTAGTGCAAGAGTGACTCTTCCCCTTCTGGTGAGAAGGTTTAGTGACTTCATTTTTCAAAAGAACTATTCGTGGTGACTGTAAGATCCCTTTCTTGAGTGGAATCAGCTAAGTTAGAGCTCAGTACTTTGTATGGACTTAATAATTTTTCACTTACTACATTTACTTACATTGAATGTAATCTGCCATCTTACTGCCAGGCACCCAGTAAAGGGAGATCTTCTGTGACTCTGCAGTCAGTTGTACATTTGACTATCCTGAATAATTTTGTATCCTGTATTTTTTATGTATACTTGTTCAAAGCTTTAACAGTTACAGCTAGAAAGATTACTGTTTACATGCTAATTATTCACAACTATTCACACGAATCAACGTATTCATGTTTGTTATGTAAATGCCTCCTTGGAAATACTAATCTAAACCTCAGCCACTCATTCACATCTTTCCAAATGGATGCTTTTCTGTTGCCCTGTAGTACAACCCACATGTATGTATGATGCTAGTCCTTTAAAACATAATATGGAACAAATTATGTATGTACAATATTTTCCCCACACACTTAAGAATCTGGCAGTGAATATTATCATAAGTTACGCAGTGGTACATTTACAATGACAAGAATCTACTTGCGTGCAGCATGAGAATTTGACTTTGAGGTATTTCATTATGAACTGTGAGTTATGCTTTAACTGCTTGGTTCTGGGACATGGTAATTGCAACAATTTATGACAGGGTTGAGTTAGATTTTCATTATTCAGTACTGGTGGCTGAAGCACAACAATAAAAAATCTTTTAACAATGCAAGTTACTATTATAACAGTACAAGGTCAATACCTAAGTTTAAGCTTTCACCCTCTGTGCTTCTATAGCAGCAGTTACTTCCCAGATTCCCTCAGTACTGAGGATATGCTTGAGGCATGGAGAATTCAAGGTTACAATGGCTGTGTCTAAGACAAGAAATAATTACAATTGTTACACACCTGCTAAGTTACTGTTTAAATATTCTGATCATTTTATATCTTCTCTTTAGCTCCTTGCTCAGAAGTGGCCTTTTGGAGATTCTGAATTTGGACAGTTTCTTTGCAAATTCCTTCCCTTTATACAGAAGGCATCGGTGGGAATCACAGTCCTTAATCTCTGTGCCCTTAGTGTGGACAGGTACAGTATGTTTTACTCTTTTGACACAGACTGTTCTTGCCCTTGCAGTTTTCCTAAAACTGAGAGCACTCAGTACGGTCGTCTTAGCAGGCAGACTACAGTATAGATGTAACTTACATTCTGTTTTTTGATGTCCTGGCTATAACAAAGCACCACATCTCTGGCTCGAAGTATAATTTAAAACGATTGGACTGATCAACTTTCCAGGTTTTTTTAAAGGTATTTAAAAGCTCTAGTAAAGCATTATTTCAATTTCCTTTGCCAGACAAAAATTTATTGGGATTTGACTCAGTATTGAGACTTCTTTTGTTCATATGACCTCATGTTTGTTTTGTACTTGAACAGGATCATAATCTTTAGTCTTAAAAATAATTTTTTCAACTCACTGCCTATGGACCATAATCACAGTGTTTATTTTGATAACTTTTATAACTAACTGAGTTCTATTGAAAAACACGTTGGAAACTTGCTTTGATAGTTTGATGTTGATAGTTTGAACATTAATGCATCTGTTAAAAGTGCTCAGGAAGATACATAAACTTTTTGATAGAAAACAGCTAAGATGCTTTTGAACGTTATTCTTTTATGCTTTTTTTTTTTTTCATACATATAAGGCAATAGCAGATGAAGACTTCACTTCTGTAAAAGCTATTTTTATTGGTCTTGAGTTTATTTGATCATGTTCTAGTCCAAAATATCAGTAATTCTGATACAGAAAATATTGATAAATAAAATACATTATGTGTATTAGTACAGCAATGCAAAGGTAAAAGAAACTTTAAAATTAATCTTGGTTTGGTTTTACATAAAAAGTTGATGCACAAGGTTTGCAATGGATGAGTAACTTAGTAGTATCCATACCTGAAACACAGTTCCTTATTGCATTAGTAACTCATTAGCTGAAGCCAGAAACAAAAAAATGTAACAGAGGCAAGTGTTCTATTTCCATTTTTGAGTCTGAGAACTATAAAAAGAATTCTATTTCTCAAACAATATCTGCCCAGCATAAAATACAATCCCATGGACTGCTCTAAGGAATAAATCATAGATCAAGCACATATGAAACAAAGTTTATTAGATAAGTTCTGACCAATGCAGTTTCAGTAGATTTAGTCCTACTTTTACATACATTTTCATAAATTGGTGGTAACTCAGCTGAAGCTACTTCTTTATATATGCATATATATATTTTTACAAGCACTGATTTCCTAATCCTCACATCAACCAAATGCTGTTTCCATTTGAGTATAAAGTCTTGTATGGGATCAGACTCAGACTAGTTAATTTCCTCCCCTAGTTTACACGCTTTGCCAAGGACATATTGCTTATCATCTGGTGCTACTCTAGTAAATGGTTGCAGAGAATATGTGTTAGAAAACAGATGTATACAGCCAGATTCTGATATTGGCTAACATGAAGTGAATCTAGATTAATCACTGTGAAACCAGGATCTGAGAGCACCTTCAACAAGTTAGGTCAGGCACTGGAAGTGGCATAGTCACATTAATATAAAATTCCACATCAGCTAATGTTTGCTTTTTAGTATGGAAAATCAGTAAATATGGAATTGTGTGCTGTCACAGCTGGACTGCTTATGGTCTACAGGCAAGTGTTTTTTTTTTCTTTAAAAAGCTCCTGAAAACTATCTCATTTACAGTTATTGTGGGTGTCTATATACGGAATTGCATTCTACGAGGTAGAAAAAGATAGAGTCAATTGGTATAATGAATTAGAGCTCCATAGCTTTGACAATTGTTGACTCTCTGTCCCTCTTGCAGACTACAGCCTTAATTTAGAACAAGATTTTTTTTTTTTCCTGCAAGGAGTGTTCTCTGTGCTAACTACATCCTATTGTGAAACTCCACTCATTACTACTGCCCCTCACACAAAGTGACTTGCACTGACAGTGAATTAAGGTTTAACTGTGCGTGTCCAAGGGCAACAATGTCCACTCACACATGGAGAGGGTTTTAAGAGGCTGACAGAAAACACCAAACCAGCCATTCACCTTTCAGAGGAAGCTCAGATGCCTCTCAGGCATTTTTAAACTCTAGGTCACGATGGTGACGATAGTCTGACTCTTTTTTTAAACGGTGCCTGACTGTGACTAAGAGGAAGGATATTTCCCTTCCTGAGCTTTTACTCTTGCTTATGTCTTGGGCATAATGATTTTGATGAAGAAATGGTTTTAAGGAGAAGAGTGAAGATATGGATCTCATTTAATATGTATACACCCTCTTGCCTCCTCTGCATATCAAATTGCATAGAACTGTAATCTCAGGGTAGGTACTTTCATCTGGCCCAACTATTAGATAACTCAAGATTTTACCACTAAAACAAAGCTCTAAAAGCTTTATTGTATTAAGAACTTTCCAATCAACACACTGCTGGCTACCTTTACAATGAAGAACAGCTGTGATCTCTCACAATGAAGAGGAATAGATCGGTATCAGCAACAGTAGTGTCATTTAGGAACTGTTCTGACACTTATCTTGACACTGACTGCTTCTTATGTCCTTGATCAAGTCTCTTATCTTTTCTGTATCGCTTTTCCCTCTTATAAAGGGCTGATGATACTTGCAGAACAGAAATATGTTATACTAGTGGGCCATTAGAACAACTAATTTTCTAATGCAGTCAAAAGGAATAGGGAAACAAAAGCTCCTACTCTGTAGGACAGCAGGCATAGGAGACTGATAGTCCGCAGACAAGCTATAGCCCATGATTTAATTTTCATATACTCCTTGATTTCATTTCATAAGGCCCACAATACATTTTCTTTTTTAATTCTCATTAGATACCACTATGGTAAAATTCATCCAAATTGTTCCAAAAACTAATCTGTGCCACAGCAAAAAACACAACCATGCTTCATTAATGAAACCAATCCTGGAAGGCTAACTAGAGTTCTAGAATTATTCTTTACCAAAGAATGATGAAATCATGGAGAGGGCATAGAAAAGCATCAGAAATTATTCAGTGGCCTTACAGATCTCAATTTGTTGCTTATAAAAAACTATACTTAAGAAGCTACTTAAATATAATATCCAAGTACTGAAATACAGATTATGTATCAGATATCCAGAGGGTCTTCAGCGTAGCAAAGAAAGATATAATAAGAACCTATAGAACAAGGTTTCAGCAAGACAAATTCCAAATGAAAATAAGGTATGCATTTTTATCGGTAAGAGTGATTAACTACAAGAAGAAACCACCAGGAAAAGGTGAAGGTGTCCTGCTCTTAATGTTCTCAGATCAAGACAGATGTCTTTCCGAAAGAAATGCTTTAAGCAAGCTATAACTAGATAGGAGTGCAAAATATTTAATTGTATGTATGTATACTTCACGATGTAATGATCCCTTGTCCTTAAATACTATGCGTCTCTAACCATAAGTAGCAGGAGGGACTGCAGAGTCCATGAAAAGCAAGTTGGAATAAATAGCTAAGAATGGGAGAAGAGGGAGAAGAAAACAGAGGAGAGAGAGCAACTGAAGGGCACAATATACTAAAGCTGACAGCACATGCATGAGCAGTAGAAAATGAAAAGGGGAGAGAGAAGAGGAGCCACAACATTAAACAGAGAAAAGGAAATTACCTGGAAGAGAACTGAATATTTTAGGCAAGGTTGGAGACAAAAGGGAAACAAACAGAAAAAAGAAAAGTAATACAAAACACATGCACACAGATTTTAGATTGGGGAATTAAATGTAATGCATGATACATGTATTTTATGTCAGTTCCCTGGCAGACATCCTATATTTTGTAAGTATGAGGGAAATAAACCCTGCAGTATTTTTCCACTCCTAATTGTGGGAGGTTTGTGGCTAGACAAAGATCCTATACATTACATAACTCACAGAACACCCACTTGAAAAATTATACTACCACTATTTTTCAAATCACTCTTACAGCAATGAGTAAAGAGACCAAGTAATCGCAGGTTAATATGCATTCAGAAAATTCTGATCTAATTACTGAGCTTCTTATGCTTTAGCTGAAACCATTCATAAAATTCTTCAGCCAATAATTCCTTACCTGGTAGTTATTCGAATTGTGAACTGAAAAAAAAATTGCTAATAAAATACACACAGGACCCAAATCCTTACTGCTGTGCATATACTGATCTTCTCATGTGCAAAATAGGTGTAACTCAAACAGAACAGGTACAAAAATACAAGAAAGGAAAGAATTGTATTCACAATTTACAACCCATTTGTTGTCACTTACATAGTTACACAGGTGACACAACACAAACTTTACAGTTCTTACTTGAAAAATATGTACAATCTACAGGCCCCTGTTTGCTAAGAACATCATTCAGTCAAGGATGAGATAGTATCATGTACCTTGTGCAGCTGATAGGACCGATTGTAAAATTGCCAGTCAGTAGAACATAAACTTCGAATTGATCATTAAACTTCCAAAGTTCACAAATATTTGAGTGTTTGTGTGAAAGGTTATGTTTCTATGAATATTCCATTTAGTCATTAAAGCCAAAATTTGATATTTGGTAAAATTAAATATGAGAGGATCACAAATTATTTAAAATTAAATTTGAATTTTAATATGAATAAATAGGTGTGAGAAGATACGATGCTGAATGTTACTTTCTCAATTATGTAGTTTGCTTTAGTATGTTCAAAATCTTTATACATACATTTCTGTTAAAATGAGGTACTGAGAACCTGTCCGTAGTACACCTGTGACTGTGCTGTGTATGGTATTGCTATAGATATCAAAGCAAAAGTATCTAGTCTGTTTACTGCAGGAACGATGGCATACAAGGCTCTAACACCTTCCAGTGATGTTCTGTAATAATGCTTTCTGAAGTTTTTGTGAGGGGCTTACAGCCTGATCTTGCATTCATGCATCTTCCTTCCTCTAACATCAAGGCTACAGGGGATTTAATTCACAAGTCTTCCATCTTGTTAATAAGCATACTCCCAAACAAATAAGGGGGTGTGATACAGGAAATCAGAAGAAATGGTGTGAATCCCAAATTAGTGTCTTGGTTAGAGGAGGGGCGAGGATACCTTTTAATAACTAAATTTTACTGACCTCTGTAGCCTAGGTCCTATATCCCTTAACTAATGTTTTTTTTTCCCATTGGAAGCTCTTTGTTCCTTCCATCTTAGAAATTCAAAATCCAGTAATTCCCAGTACACTCAAAGCATCCAAACCCAGAGTTCTCAACTACTCTTTTCTTTAAACCCTTGTTATCCCTGAGCCTTCAAGCCCATGCCAAAATTCTGTATTCCTTCCAACCACCTCTCTACCATCCCACCCTAATCCTTCCACAGCATAATCCTCCAACCTAAAGCTTTCTGATCTAAATTCCCCTGTTCTTTCCTTCCCTTGCCAAAGCTCACCCATCCCTGCAACTCAGAGCCTACATACTTACAAATTGTATCCTCCCGGTCTATTGAGGACATCTCCTTTCCCCATACCTTACACCTTCCTTGTGCCTGCTGGTACGCCCTTTTGTACTCCAGTTAGCTGCTGTCATCAGCTAAAATCACAACCCTATTTGCTTTTCTTTGAAAAGCTTATCTTTGGCTCATGCCTTGGAAAGGTGTTAAGAATAGAGGTGGCAGCTGCACATATCCAAATGTATCTGCCAGGACTCGAGGGGGCAGAAAATGAGGACATGTCTGAGGAAGAAAAGAATACTTGCCATAGTCAGGACAGTAAAATGACACAGGTCCTTACAATTCATAATCTGCTTCAGTGACTTCTTATTCTGACATTTTTTAAAGCAGATGAACAACCTTTCTTGACTTTTTTTCTCCTCAACTAAAGGAGACTATTTCATCAGTGGATGCCACGATATATCCATGTAGCACTCTAATGCTAATTAGATTCCAATTCCAAATGGGAAGGTGCTATTATTTTGGGGAGGTAAAATAAGCAGTTTAGGAACTGCCACATCATCAACAGAAAGCTCTCCAGCATGCATTTCAGATTATTACGAGATCAAAAATAATATTTTTCTTGCCATAATTTTTAGATAGCACTGTCTTTGCTAAATTGTTGGAAATGCTAAGTAACTCGTTTACTGCAGTTACTGCTAGACAACAGTTAAGTCTGCTACTGAAAATTTTATTTATGGACTGGTTTGTACTCTGTATAGTATGCCTATCAGTCTCCTCCACATAATTTTCAAACCTTTTGACCAGAGTTGACAAAGAGGTTGAGGTCTCAAAGTTAATAAATTTCTACAAGTTCCTTGAAAACTGGCAGACAAATAGAGGAGAAAGACCCTTTCAGTTCCCTGACTGGGGGAAAGGCTGCAGCCTGATAACAAGAATCCTCCAGCTTTGAAGGGACAGAGAAGGTAAAGAGAGGAAGAGGAAAAGGGAGAAATGTGTGGGCTGTATTTGAAACTTCTTTAAGAATTCTCACCTTTTACCAAGATTACAGTTATGAGACACATACACATAGGAAACCAGGTTTCAATAATTCCACTTTTTACAGAGAAACTTACTATCTAAGGGATAAAGTAGTGGGAAAATATGTCGGGTTTGGCCTGTACAGACTTCTTAGCCATGCATTTCAGTTTCTCATCTGAAAGGTGATGCAGAGGCTAAGATAGCTGTCAGACAGTCCTAACTAGCACTCAGTAGTCTAAGGCAAATACAGAATATGCTGCATAAAACCCGTATTTTTAACATTGAATAGTTTAAATAGAACAAATGCATTTTCATTTCATCAAGAGTATTTTCACAGTATTTCATTGCGTGGAAGCTGACCACTTCAGATAGCACTGCTGTTACAGCTGAGGTAGCTGAAGAAGATAGCTGTTTTGTATCTATTAGAATGGCTGGTGTGCCTGGAAGCTTTTTTTCTTCTGTTATGTCAGTTGATCTAGTGAAAGATATAGTCTGTCCTCACAAACCTTGCCTACTTTAATTAAAAACCATTAGTGCAGTCCCCATAGCAGAATTCCATGCAATCCTAAGCAGAACAGTTGCAGCCAGCTCTCTGTTATCCACCCCTTGATGTGCTCTGCTGTGTCCTAGGTGGCTTGATAGCTGGCAGAGCCCCCGGAACAGGCAGAAAAAACAAGCAATACAAGTCTAAGATTTCAGCTTTAGGATTTTACTTAATATATAAAATTGAACCAAGACCTTTGAATTTAAGGAAGAAACTGAAGGTTGGAAACTAATGCCTGTCTCTTTCAGGTATAGAGCAGTTGCCTCCTGGAGCCGTGTTCAGGGAATTGGAATCCCTATGATCACTGCTATTGAAATTTTCTCCATTTGGCTTCTGTCCTTCATACTGGCTATTCCGGAAGCAATTGGTTTTGCTGTGGTACCTTTCAGATACAAGGATGAAGGTTATGTTACCTGCATGCTCAATCCTACAAATAATTTTATGTTGGTAAGTAACATCCTTTCTTCTCTTTTTAGAATCCACAGTATATAGGTTAGACAAGTAAGATACTGGATTATAATACGCTTTATTTATCCATTAAAGTGCAAAATGTATTCTAATGTATATTGGTGCAAAGAGGATCCTTCATTTACAGTGACCTGTCTCTACTTTCAGCCAGAGACACTAAATGGGACTTTACAACATTTTCATTTCTTCACTACTGAGGATTCTTAATACAGAAATTTGCAATTCAGGCCTGCTTTAAAGCACAATCAAGAGATGTATCAGGGTAGCCAGAGCCTTGGAAAGTATTGTGTTTCTAGGTATAACACCTTGGAGCTTATAACTGTCAAAAACCATGTTTTACTATGATTAGTCATCATTTTGCATGCAGTAGCCAGCTCTTTTGGCAGATAAAGAAAAGGGTGGGGCCATGCTCTGACATAACTTTTCCTATTCTATATGCACTTACAAAGTCAAACAGAGATTACTCCCTTCATTTACAAGAAATCATGACTACAAATCTGACAGACTCACATCTCCAGCCTAGGTAGCTTGGGCACTGTTAGCTGTCATCTAGATACAGCAACTCAAGAGCAAGAGAAGTGCCTGAGACACACAGGCTTCTCTGGCACGTTTCATAGCCCTCATCCTCTGTGCTACTGCAGCTTAACAGTTGCCAATACCCACATTAGCTTGTTCAAAGCAAGTCAGGTGAGTAGTCGCTACAGAATTAATAGATCTTCACGGATAGGGGGATAGTGATTTTCCACCTGGCCTTACACTGAGAAAATGGGAAAGTGGTATCTTAATTTTTTCTTTGTGAACCCAAAGAAGGGCCAGACACCATTCACCCAGTAATAAAAAAAGAGTAATATTCTGTTTTGTCTCAGAGAAGGAAGGTAGTGCAAGGTCTTAAGTCTTGAGGGAAACGCCACACTTTTTTCCAGACTAGAATTTTTCATGATAGAGTGCAAGTTTCTCTTTTTTGAATGTCTGGCACTTCTCCTTTTATTGGATCAGAACATGGCTTGGGCTAGAATCGGGAAGGATAGGGCAAAATGGAGCTAGGAAATTTAGAAAGTAAAACGTGTGGATGATTAGTGTTTTTCAGAGGAACCTCCCCAACTTTGGTAGGATTACATAGACTGCAGGGACAGCAGAAAGAGCAAGAGACAATTGCAAGAGAAAGCAAAAGGAATTCCTTAATGGAAATAACTAATGCAGGTGAAGATGGAGTGGAATTGCCCAGGACTTACTATATCTTTGTTTCTAAACTCTACAGACTATATGATTGTAGGTACTGTAGTTACAAGAATATGATATATGAAATGCACACTGCAGAAAATTTCCCTTTTGTAATGGGTGTTTTTCTCCACAAATGTGCCTGGACAATCTTCACTTCCTCTCTCCCTAAGAAAAATAATAGTTTTCTCTTCCCTCTTCTCAAAAACACTACAGTTCAGGTCTTCCATAGGCATGCTAACTTTAATGATTATTGTTCTGTTCTTAATGTGGTAAGCACAATAGCTTGTTTTGTTTTATTAGCAGGAATTAGTACCTTTTACTTGCTCAGCATAATTCAAAAGCTCCAAGTCTCCCCACGCCAGTTTGATTTTCAAGGAAACAAACCAGCATTTATATCCAAGCTGAGAGTAAATGTTGGACGTGTCAGTCAAAATGGAGAATGTTGTGTTTCAATGCACTGCAAGCAAGTACAAACATGAGATTAAAATGGAAATACCATTTTAACTTTAACTATAGTATTTACTACCACAAACACCACAATAAACAATTACTAAACTTTGGGAAGGATTTATGATTAACTTTTGTTTTTAATAGGAGCTTTATTCATGTTTAAAGCTATCCTTGAAAGATTTAAAAGATTCGTGCTAGACCATGATTCCCAAGAGGCTGCGTGCACTAGGAAACTTGTTTAAAATGCACATTTCCTGTAGAAAACCAGTTCCATGTGGGCTTTCAAGACAAACAAAAGAACGTCTACTTCTCTTAAATCAACCCAATTTCGTGCTTTGATGTAAGCTTTGTGAAACTCAGATTCCACAATTAATCATTTACAGACATTTTCGTGTAGGTTTTATAACTTCACAAAGGCAGGTCCTCATACAGAATTGATGCATTGGTCACAGAACGGTTGACACAGAACTGGTTGTGACACAGAACTCGGTGTGTGTGTTTTGTTGACTGACAGGCAACGCTCACTAAAGCTGGCAGACTGATATGACAGAAAGTTTTCCGTGTAAACATAGCATGGATTCACACAGTACACATTTTGTTGTGCTGCCCAACCAATATGATTCTAGTCTGACTTAGAGGAATTTGCCACGGAAAAGATAATTGTCTCCATGTATTTGTAATCCTTTTCTCTGCAGAAGGAGTGGTAATTAGATTTCCCCTCAATACAAACTCTTCAAATATGAGACATATTGTTTTCTGGTTTTCTGCTGGCAGAAGCTCTGTTCCCAGTGGGGAAAATTCTGCCCCCAAGGAGAGTGCAACTATGCAGCAGACTGTAGCCCCTCCTCACGCAGGGATGAGACTAATGAGAAGGAGGAAAGAAGCTAATCAACACAATACAAAATGTCCTGTGAGGTGGGGTTGTAGCCTAGATACCAGCAGCATACTGTAAATTAGCAAGCTCTGTAAGCAGCTAACTGTGTTGGGGCAGAGGGAGGAAAATCAAAAGCATTCCCTTTTTCTTAGTAAATCAACTTTCTAGTGGAACTAAAGCAGATTTAAAAATGAACATTATTAAATACTAGTCTAGTAATTGCACCCATTTTTTTCATCTTTCACAGTTTAGTACCATTCAGTTTTAAATGTAAACAAGATGTCAGAAGTTTGACTTTTTCAAACAGGATTCATATAATCCTCAGTTATTAGCATTTTGACATTTGGTGTGGGAACTGTGATGTTACAAGAGCACATCCGCTAGGAATAAACAAGCTAGGGGAAAGATTATGAGAAAGAAAGTTCCCTTTTACACATATCCATCTCAGTGACTAATAACATAGAGACAGGAAGTATTTAAAATGTCATATTTCAGTGCATGCTTTTGGCTGAGCATAAAAGTTAAAAACCAAGATACAATATTTTCTCAAGTCTGAAAATATAATCGTCTACAGGAAGGAGTAATTTTCAATGTTTTGTCAAATGTAGTATTTCCTATAATACATAAATGTATTAACTTAAACCACAGCTTAAAGCACAGCTAACACTTAAAATTACACAGCAAAATACTGCTACTTTATTAAGTCCCTCTGTGTCCTGTCACAAAAGGCAAATGGTATGAATGGCAGGCAAAGGGTTAAAAGTAACTGTACCACTAGAAGCCACCCATCCTAAGCTTTGCATATATCAGACAAACACTTATGAAGTGGCTCCTATCTGCCCAGTACATAAGCAAACCAACTACCAACCTTTTCACTGATAACAAAAGGTGATTAAACTTACAAGACATTTTGAATTTTCCTTTTTTGGAATCAGGACAGCAGCTGTAGAGTTAAATGGCATTTCCTGAGACAGGCTTTTAGTAAGATTTGTTATCTCAAACTGACGCTGTCTACATTTTGGCATGTCTTTTTCATGAAACTGGATTCCAGTTTTCATGAATGAATGTAAATGTTCAGAAAACACAACGAAAAAAAATTAATTCCAACCCAAGACAGATTGCAACAAAGGTACAGACAGGCTATCCGTAAGGTAAAATAAATGTTTACACTGCCACAATTCCCATTTTGATGTTGGTCCAAAACAGATCAACACTAAGGAAGTTTACATAATTTGTGCTGTTTACCAATAGACAGACACCAGCGTACCAACTGTCACGCTTTCCAAGACCTTTCTGTGGTACTTTCCATTGAATCATAAGAAAATATCTTCTCTCTTCTTTACCTTATCTACAGTTTTACAAAGATGCAAAGGATTGGTGGCTGTTTGGTTTCTATTTCTGCATGCCACTGGCGTGTACTGCCATCTTTTATACGCTAATGACTTGTGAAATGTTAAACAGAAGAAACAGCAACTTGAGAATCGCTCTCAGTGAACACCTTAAGCAGGTAAATATTAGGAACACCAATGTTTGAAAATACTGTTCTACTCTATTTGGGTTAGCTTAGAAATGTTTCAAAGTATACTTGAATACAGTAAATTACAGAAAAAGAAAGTGAGGATGTAGGTTATTTATGACGCTAAGGTATTCATCTAGCCCTGGAATGCAAGACTAAATCATAGTATAAGGAGGTATTGAAGACAGCACGCTCAGGAAACTAGCCAGTTTCTTTCTTTTCTTAAGGATGTGTGACAGTTGTGCTCTCCTGCTCTTTGATCTCAAATCGCTACTGACTAAATGTTTGAAATTTAACTACAAAGATTTGCCAAAAAAATGTTTCTTTTTATTCCTAAAGATACGACTCCATGGGTCCTCCCTGCTTTTGGCACACTTTGATATGCAACTTTAGTTTCATAGAAAAAGCAATTGTAGAATAACCTGGTTTATAATAGAGTGGATTTTTTTTTCCAGGGTTATTGCACTGTTGCAGTACCACTACTGTAGCTGCTTTGAAAAGAGCAACAGGAGAATAGTACAAACAAATGATCATAAAGTCACCCACAGAACCATCAGATCTCACTTTGCTGTTTTTGCAGCACTGTCTCATGTTTAATTCCTAACTGAAATTTTAAAAACAATCTGTAGCTTTTCCCCTGCGTTAATGTCAGCCCCTCAAATTCCACTCTTTCTTTCAAATTCCACATTCATTAATGTGAATTCCTAAAGCAGTCCTCTCTGTGTTGGAGTGAGTTCTGTCAGAGGTTCCTCCTCTGTGGGTCCCTTCCAGATCAGGGCAGACCAGAAAATCCTCCCCCTGTGCAGATCCTCCACTTTTTCCCCTCATCAGGCCCCAGGGCCTGCAACACGGTCTGTCCTAGGGCCACGCACAAGCCACTCTGCCCGTCAGAACTAGAATGGTATGTACCGGGTGGGGAGTCCACCCTTCAGTTTTCCCATCCTGACTTGCAGCGCCCAGCAAGCTACTCAGACTGGTTGCTGGAGGATGACTTTATGCAATGATTTACAAATGTTTGTCTTTTTAGCTATCACCTTTTGCCCTTCTTCCTTCCTTTCCTACAGCCTTGTCCACGTTAATGTCTAGTCACGATCCTTTTCGTATTTTGATAAAAACTGCTGTTATAAGAAAGAAGAAACAATAATAGTCATATTCAAAGCCTAACAAGACTTGCTGTAATCACACATTTGACTTTAAGTTTTTTAATGACAGAGCCTTGCAATGCTCGTTATTGTTACATTACAGCGGCAGTTTCAGAAGTGGTATTCTTACCCCTTCATATGCTTCTCTTTATCAAATCCATGCCTACCAAACACCACTGGTATGCATTGTCAAAAAACCACTTAAACATCTGTAAATCTCTAGAGCTATATAAAATATTCATTAAATTGAACTTATTTGCTGACTAAGTATTATAAGATTAAGCTGTAATACAGACATTTCTAAAATTTTGTTTGTAGAGGAACTATTTACTTAAGAATATCAAGATCACATAGCAAGGATCACATAGCAAAATTAATATACTGTGCCATATCCCTTTATGTAATATGATGCATACTAAATATAAAATAATACATCAGAGAGAATTTGACATCCTGACTAGGTACGTGGTTGAATGGAACTTTTATTGCCAATTGATTAGGTGCCTTGGGTTTACAGATGGCCCCACATCAAGGGTTAGGTACAAGTGGTTTATCAAGCAGGAGTGATCTCATACATGGAAAAAGTTTTCTTGCAGATTATGCATGTTTCTGAAGAAAGAGATTTATCTGAGGGATTGCCAGAAAACTAATCCAGTACAGAGGAATAAGAAGGGCTGGGAAAGTAATCAGGTTCAGGAAAGCCCAGCAGTGGATTTTCCTTGGCTAACATCTACAACGTCCTGGCAATGACCTGTGTGCTCCAGCTGCTCCAGCCTCAGTAATGAGCAAGTTCTGCTGAGGATGGCCAGAACCAAGAACATGACAAGCCCCATAAAAAACAGTTCAGGGACATCAGGTAGTCTGGAAGCTGCACTTTGGGAATCCTTGCATGCTTTATCTAGATTACTTACTTTGCTGCCAACATCACTACACTATAATCACCCACCAATATGAATTAGGCACTCAGTCATAGTTATCTTTACTTCTTTTTCTAGCGTCGAGAAGTTGCAAAGACAGTTTTCTGCTTAGTAGTGATTTTTGCTCTTTGCTGGTTCCCTCTCCATTTGAGCCGAATTTTGAAGAAAATGGTATACAATGAAAGAGACCCCGGCAGATGTGAACTGCTCAGGTACTTCATTTTCTATGTCAATCAATTGCTTATACTGAAAAAATATAATGCAGCACACTTGGAGTTTATGTGGGAAATGTCATTGTGCATGCAACTGTGGTGTTAGAAGAGCAAACAGTTTATTTTATGACTTTTCAGCTGCATCCATTTTCAGGGGTTTCAGTTTTAATGGGGTAGCATAATTTCAGTAAATGTTGTCTGTCACCATTGCAATCACTTTCCTCTGGCTTTTGTGAACTGTGAGCCAGGTTATCATAGACCTGGCATGGTACAAGATTAGATTGAGGGAGTTAGGTAAAATAGAATTAGTTTCTGTGACAGAAGAGATTGTAACCACAAAGAGCATGGATGCTTCTATAGTATATGAACAGTTTAAATGTTTTGCTTTCTCTTTTGTTGCCTAGTTTCTTGCTGCCATTGGATTATATCAGCATCAACCTGGCAACCATGAACTCTTGTATAAACCCAATAGCTCTGTATTTTGTGAGCAAGAAGTTTAAAAACTGTTTCCAGGTAAGATCTTCTTGATAAGTTTTTATGTCCAGTTAATGAACTGTATTAAACCACTTAGTTATTATCTATTTTTAGCAGTTGGGAGAAGAGGCATGCAAAGGAATGAAAGATTGTTAATTGTCTAGTTTACCAGCTAGCAGCTCACATAGCACACATACCAAACTGAAAGTGGAACTATCCACTTTATCTGAAATGCTAAACCAGTAAATAAGTTTGACATAGGCCTCATATGTAAACATGTAAACTGAGATAGACATGTTCTTGTAAGTACTATTTATCTGTATGTGACATGTACATGAAATAGAATTTGGTTGATAACATATTTCCCACTCTAGATGAAGACAAAGAACACATACATAGGACACCAAGCTGCCTGCAGTTAAACAATCCCATTAACGACTAAAATTTTCAGGCTTGAATACTAAAGCAGGCACCTGAGTTGACTTTGGCAATTAAATACGCATTATGGCTTTCACCTGCATTTTTCCAGTTCTTACACATGAAAACTTATTTTATGGCTAAAATAATTTCCTTGTGACACTGTGCCTCTGCATGTCCCCACCTAATAAAGACAATGCAGAAAGAAAGAAAATGAGAGCATATAGTGGTAAAGAAAGTAATGAAATGGAAGAGGAAGACTGAAATAGCTTTATCTGCAAAGAAAAACAAAAGACGACAGACACTAAACTTTAAGTCTGCGAATAGGCAACTCAAGCTACTGAAAAAATGTAAAAAATTATTAGAATAGAGACTACCTATTTGTCTGTAGCCTGCTCAGACTTACAAACTATTTTAAAGGAGTATTTTCATATGATAAATAAGAAGTCAGCTTTGCTTTTTATGGTCCCCTACTTCATTTGGGAACTGTGGAGAGGATAATATGCCTGGACTTGTCCTCAAGGTGAAAGGGGGAAGTAACAGTGGGTACTACCAAGCTGCTCCTCATATCATTAGTTCATTCTTCCCATTTGTCCTTCCAAATAAAATTACCATCCAACAACTCTAATTAAAGAATTTTAAGCTATTATTTAATCCTTTCCAGCTTCTTATTATAGCTTACCCTTTCCCTTCTAGTATCAAGGTCATTAATTCAGGCAATCTTTCCATTTTGTATTTGAGTTTCTCACCCTACCTCTGTTGCTATTTTACATATCCACCCATAGATAGATAGTACATATATCTTAAGTCTGGCTTTACCTCTCTGCAACACTCCCTTCTCATTGAGTTCACAGAAGTCATGGATCTACAGCTGTTATTGCCATTGCTCCTCTGAGGCCCTAACTCTTTCACCATTTACGTAGAATTAGGCACTAGTTTTTGTGAAGGGAGGGGAGGATAGCTGAAGAATCCTTTCTGCTCCTTTCAGAAGAGACAACTGAACATACCAGCCTGTGAAAAACCTGGGAGTATGATCCTGAATGACCTTCTATTCTTAACTGTGAAAAAAGATACACCTCAATATATTCACTGTCCCTTTTCCTAAACAATTTTGTCTTCTTCTAAGATGTGAGAAGAGACCTAAGTCACAGGCTGGGGAATTTTCTTCTTTTCTCTTACATGCTAAGGAGCATGCTGATTCCTCTTACAATATGTATTGAGTTCTGTCAGTTCTCAATCTATTTACCCTAGTCAAACAAATTTTCCCTTTTGATACTGTAAAAGTTTTTCTTAAATAAGAGGCACAGGCCGGGCCTAATTTGCTGCATTAGTGATGTTTAATCACAAGAATTGTTTGCATTCTAGGATAAAAAATTTGCCTCACTCCCTTCGGCTAGAATCGTCTGTTCATTTATGAATGAAAAATATGGCTGGCAATCTGCATAGAGTTGATAGATTTGTGTTAACCTTGTTTTTTTTTTTTTTATTTCCAGTCATGTCTTTGCTGTTGCTGCTCCCAATCTAAGAGTCTAGTGACTTCAGTGCCCATGAATGGAACAAGCATTCAGTGGAAAAATCAAGAACTAAACAATCACAATACAGATCGAAGCAGCCATAAAGACAGCATAAACTGAAAATTAAGGACTCTGATACCACTTCAGAATTAAACAGGAAAAAAAAAGTCACAACAAAGCTATTTCAACAGGAAGCCCAGTGACTGTTCCATAATCAATTCAGACATGTGCACCCTTGTACCTAATTCTAGAGGTGACTGAGTAGATTGACTGACTATAACTGTGATGTTCTGTGAACTGAGATCCACTGGATGGTAATTCTGTCTCTGAAAATTATATTGATGTGATAATGACACCAAGAAGCTGACTTGAACTACACAAGTGGTTTGATCTTCTGAACCAAGCAGGAACTGTCCATTGTCTGTGAGTGGTGCAATACAATCTTTTTACCTGATTGTCACCTAAGATTAATCACTCTGGAATTTTTCAGAAGATATCAAAATGGAATCTGTCTGTGACTGTATTTTCTCTCTGCCCTTTTGTCTTTTATTTGTGTGGTGGATATATTCCATGCACCAGTATGTTTTGCATGTTGTTGTTGTTGGTTTTCAGGTTTATGTTGGAAAATGTTTTGGTCCATACCAGTATTTTACTTACTTATGTTACAATGGGTCAGGACATTAGCTGGGCAGTTCACATTTGTAGCACTTCAGTACTCAAAAATAGGAAGAGACCATTTAAAGTAGCGTCAACATTTGGCACTTAAGCACAGATTAATACCAAAAAAGAGGTATTAATAATACAGTACTATACTGTGTTATTTATTCTAATGCTCTGTACAAAATAAATATAATAAACATTTTATCAGCAAAAAGAATGAAAGATGCCCACACAGGGGCACCTGCCATGTTAATTCTTAAACTATATGAACCTAGTAATCTATTTAGACTATAGCTGCATTAAATCTAAGTCAAAATGAGGGTCAGTGGAACACAGTGAAACATTATTAAAGCTGTCCAAAGAGTTCTGAGAATATGGTTATTATCATAGCAACTATGCACAACACTACTTACACATCGTGAATGTGAGGTTATAGTCATAGTGAATGCAGAACTGTGGAAGTCTATAATAGTTCGATGTGCACAAGGATATTTTGTGCCTTATGCTTACAGAGCTCTTTGTCTTACTCTCACAACATTCAAGGATTTTAATGGGGTTTGATAGTTTATTAGAATTGTTAACCATACAAATGCTATGAATAATATATAGAAAATATTGCTTGCATACATGTAAACTGGTGATTTACTTACTATTTCCATCCATTATGGTTACATGGCAAGAGATTCCTTGTTTGGCTAGAAAAATTTTTAATAAGTAGCCTTTCATTAAACAGTGGAATTAAATAGTGTGGTGTCATATATAATATGCCTCATGCACAAATCTGCTAGGAAATTTATAGCATCTGTTGTGCCAGGCTAAGAAGCAGTAATTAAAATTCCACAAATTTTTAAACATCCGTTACATTTCAAGTGAAAGATATAATCCTGCATATTTTTATTTTCAATGTCAAAATGCTAGTGCCTACAGTGACTTCTGCTGCACAAGTTTCCCAAATGTTTACATTCACACAAATCTTCTAAAGTATATTAAAAAGAAAAGTTCTTTAAATTGGTTTATGTATTTTTGTGTGCTTTTGTCTCTGTGACATATATGCCTGTATAAATACATACGAATTTATGTTCATATGTTATAAACCTAAATACAGTCTTCTGACTGTACTCTGTAGTAGTGCCTAAGAGCATGGTATTGAATGAGAGTTGGCTGAATTTTATTCAAAACATTTCATCCTCAAACTGTATCAAAAATAATAGTAAATGAGTAATAATGCTTTCCTTTGAGAAGGTTGAATTACTGAGTCTCTTTATATCCTGACACCTTCACTGCTCCTTTGACAGACTGTATTGAGCAGATGATAAAGCTAAACAGAAAACAGACATGAAGAATGGATGTAAGTTGTAAATTGCCCCTTCTTTATTTCAAGGCAGGAAAAAGCTTTGTGCGCATTCTCCTCTTCTGTTATTTATCTGATGGTTAGATGAACCAAAAAAATCGTACTATATCAGCAAATCAATAATCTGATTGTTCAGAGACAATCTTTTCTACCCGTCTACATAAGACAGTGAGCAGCAGTGACAGAAACTTTAGGACTCTTAACTTCTACAAAAAAAAGCATCTACCTGCAGAAGTTTCAGACCCTGAAATGGACCATTTTTAGGCTTTACCAGCACTGATACCAACCACAAGTCATGCAAAGCTAAAAGTTTTCCTTCCAGCGTTAACATTTCAAAAATCTATTGCTTTCACACCAATAATTGGCTCTATTATCTGGCAAAGATATATGCACATGCACACACAAAGCATACTTTAAGCCTGTTCAGCCTAGATGGAAAAAACATCTTCCTACTCCCCAAAGAGCTGACTGACCTTAGTGGCAGCATTATAAAATACAAAACTTTTTAACTAAAGAAAAAAAGAGGGTAAAATATCTAACAGATGTGAGAGGGTTTTTTTTAGAATGCTTTAGAATGATTTTTGGAAGCTCACTTAGGGATCAAAGCCTGCAAAAACTAATTGGTGATCCTCATTCCATCCCCTCCAGCCAGTGGAAGGACAGACAGAGCCTAAATAACAGTGACAAGTGAGGTCTCGGGAGGTCTCAGACTCTTTTTTGCCATGCATGCTCTTTTGCCTTTTCACTAGCGGCTGCTGCTCCCACTCACAAACCAATCACACGGACAAAGGGTGTTATGATGTGGCAATTACGGTGAGGGGGGAACTGTTTCTGTAAAACTTACTAAGGTACTTACTTTTTTAAATCTCTCCTATTCTTCCCTGATAATGGTAAATATTCCTCCTAGTATTGTATCTACCCTCAATTCTGAAAAACCTACCTTTCCAAAAGAACGAACAAAAGTCTTCCACAATTCTGAAATTCAACCATATTTAATTTTATCCTTTCCTTTTCCTGCCAAGTTCTGCAAAAAGGTGCTCTGGCATTTCTCTTTCTGCATCAAAAACAGTGTAGGTTTAGTTGGGATTTTCCTCTGCTGTTGCACAGAAGCTGCTTTCTCTTTTACATCAGAACAACTTTACACAACAAGTATCCTTCCATCCTCCTCTTATTTTATAGGTGGTTTTGTGTCTGCTATTTGCATTCCTCTCAGCTGAATCAAGCTTAGCTTTTCTCTGCAGCTGATCGGATCTCTATTCCACAAGTTTCAGATTAACTTCTTACACTTTTTGTAACATCTGTTCATCAGAATCAAAATCCATTTAACTATCACAATCATCTTTTTTGTGGACTTCACAATTCCCAATTCTTTTCAGTCCAGTCAGTGTAAATTTTCATTGACTGTTTCCTCTTATATACAGTCTCGCATCTTAACTTCAAATGCAGAGTTTTCTTTAATTTTAGAATCCAGTTATTCTCCTTGTTTTCAATATGCATTTTTTTCAAACTACCTCACTAAACATTTCCTGTTTGGTATACTTTGTACTTATTTGCTTCAAAGATACAGCATGTATAGGTTTTCACTTATATTTATCTTTGTATTTATTTATTTACATATGTAACTCTGTGCTTCAGACCTGACCTAGCCAGTTCCTGTGCTTTGGAAAAAAATGCCTATGTAGTAGTTCATCATAAATCTCACCTGATAGAACTGTTAGCTTGTTCTGTGAAAGGAGGCTTATGCAACCCTCATGTCTGAATATGTTTATTTTTGCTTTTAATACAGTCAGTTTCAGGTCTTTACCTGTCTGTCCCTCCACCTTTCAAAAACAATTATGAACCCCCTACCCAATTTCAATAAATTTTAGAGAACAGAGTTACCATCATTATGAAGTTACAGAGAATTTCACAAAAACTGCAGGATGGGTAGAAGAACAAGATCCTACTTGTGCTCTATGCAGAAAATTGCTGAAATGGAGTTTATATGTACTCAACAAATTCACATGATAGAGAGATGTTATGAACATTACAGATGCGGAAAAAGCTTTGATGAGAGCTTGCAACTTGTAAGACATCTGAGAATCAAACCACAACACACAAATTCTTGGAAACCAGTATTTGTAAGTTCCATTGCTTGTGGAATTACTTGCTTTTTTTGCTGTTTCTCTCCCATCATTTACATATGTACCACAATCTTGTTATAGTATCATTTGATTCTGTGAAGCCTTATGGGTTTCAGTTTGTGAGAAGACATGGTACAAATTCAAATTCTGCTGCATTTGTATGAACAGATTTCTGCTCAAATGTCCCTGAGGCAAAGCATGCATTTTCATTAGAAGAAACACACTTGGACTGCATGCTAACATTGCCTTGCAAAATTTCTTCCAATCAGTTGTGCAAAGCTTGGCTCAGCGAAGTATTCCTAATTTACACTCCTCGCCCTTTCAAAGACTAAATAAAGGCAATTATCTCCAAAATCAGAGTAAGAGAAGACACATAAAAAGTTTACAGAACAGAAACAATTCCCAAGTTGCATAGGAAAAAAACCCCAACCAAAACTAGGCATGTTTAAAATGTGGGTCTAAAAGAAACACAGCTTATCATTAGTCCAAGTGTGGGAAAGGAAGAAAAGAACTAAATAAAAAAATGTAGGTCATCTCCAATTTCTCTAAAGGAAGATGAAATTAATTGACCTCTAGTATCTCATCTAGAATCAGCTTTTTCCCTGTACAGATACCACTGCTTCTGAAATGAACTGTTGCTTGAGTCACAGTTTTGCAGTCTCATTAGTTACAGTAGCTTATTATTACGATAAAGCTCAACATAGTAAGTGTTGCAACTGATAAGAAAAAAGAATTTATTCCATTCTTCAGCAGTAGTCTGCCCACATTTCTCTGAGTAACTGAGTATCTGCAAACTGCTCTGAAATCAATTATTTGGAAATACTTGGTGCATCTCAGAATAAGGCCTTTAATCTCATGCTGTCTTAGTCCTTGGGAGTAAAAAGACTGAGTCTACAAGTTACTGAATCAAGCATCCAAAATGATTAATGAGAAGCATTTCTAAGCCATCCAAGAGAACATGTGTTATGCTATGTATTTTAAACATAGGGGAAGATTAGAAATCATAGAATCATAGAATAGTTTGGGTTGGAAGGGACCTTAAAGATCATCTAGTTTCAACCCTTCCTGCCATGGGCAAGGACACCTTCCACTAGACCAGGTTGCTCAAAGCCCCATCCAGCCTGGCTTTGGACACTTCCAGGCATGGGGCATCCACAACTTCTCTGGGCAACCTGTTCCAGTGCCTCACCACCCTCATAGTGAAGAATTTCTTCCTTACACCTAATCTAAATCTACCTGCTTTCAGTTTAAAGCCATTACCCCTTGTCCTATTACTTCATGCCCTTGTAAGATGTCCCTCTCCAGCTTTCTTGTAGGCCC